ATCAGCTTTATTGGCCAAGTGTGTGTACACATAGTAGGAGTCTGACTCCAGTTTGAGGTTGCTCTGAATGTTACAGTTACATTCACAGGAATATGGAAACAGACATACGGCTAAAAACAAGGACAACAAAGCTGAACAAAGATAAACAAACATTATGATGCGGTTATCATTTCAATCAATCAGTGCGAAGTTAGATGTGAAAGCAAGTCAAGTCTCAAGTGTTTGTCCTGTAACTGGATTTTCGAAAATGATAATTAAATGAAACTGTTAGAAATGGATTTTGGAATTAGCAGAAGTAGCGTCTCGGTTTGGCAGACAACACAAATGATGCTGTCACCCCTTGGGACAAAGGAGAAATAAATAGGAAATACTGACGTAGACAACCATCTGTCAATTTTTAAATAGTGAATAAGAAAGATTTGAGACACACAGAGGGGCGAATGAGGGAAGAAACACTGATCCATAATGCCACCTAACACATTCTGAGCAGAGATATAGAGAGATAGAGGGAGGATTAAAGAGGATGAATGGAGGAGAATATAAACTACAATGGTGCTCTAACCTTGTTAAAATTATATCTACGTATACATGTATGTAAGTGAGTGGTAACACTTTTTGTTAAGTGCGTCTCACCTGGGATGGTCTTGCAGTCTCCCAGACTCATGATCTTTCTATCGAGGATACGGCGTCCCCTGCTGAGGGTTTTAAGGAACTGCACCTCCTCCTCATTAATAATGTCCTTCACCATTTCTGGGTCTTTCCTCAACTCCGGGAACGCGTCACCCTGGAGAGTGAGAGTGAAAGAAGACAGGGATCGAAGATGGAGTGAAAAGGAGGGGAGAAGAGATAAAAGAGGAATAGCAGAGAATCGATGGTTCAAATTCACTAATTCACTACTAACCCTACTTATGAACTAGATGTTGGAAGGTACTAAAGCTCCAATGTGCACCTTTTTACAGTGAATAAAAGAGAATACAGGGTATCTGCACACAGTTTAAGGCATTTTAGCTTTAGCTTTTTAAAATCTCACCAGGGAATCGACCACCACATCCACCAGAGAGGCAAAAAAGCCTTTCTGAGCTCCCAGCTTCTCGTGGGAATAACGGACTGCACGACGCAGGATCCTCCTCAACACGTAGCTAAACACGATAAAACACCACGTTACAATAAAGTATTGAAAATGAACTGCAAAACATTGCTTTCACAGCCACGCTAGTCTGAAATCTTGTGTTGTTTTGCAGTATTTACGTGTATTGCACCAACTCTATTGTCAGTAATTCAATGCCAAATTACCAAAGTATAATTTGGGAAATACCCCTCAAGGACTAGCACACTATACACACAAATTAAAGTATGCTGCATTCATGTCTCACCCTCTTCCTGTGTTGTCAGGCCGGCCGCCGTCTGACAGGGCGATGGTGATGGTGCGGGCGTGGTCAGCCAGCACACGGTAGGCCATGTCAATACCATCAGCATCCTCAGCGCCTACTTTACCGGTGTATGGTCGAGCACCTGTACCCTGAAACACAAATTATGTTGAAACTGCATATAAGAGTAGTGGTTCTCAACCTTCCTTTTCTGATGCACACCCACAGCTGATCTTGGAATTGTTTTTGTTAAGGTCTCTGCCTTAAGTGGCAGAAAGTGTTGATGTTTAAACCATTACCTATCTGCTGTACTTTCACATCTCTTGCTAACTAGTTTTCATGAACTATCAATCGCAGCACATGGCGTTAATGTGTTACAACTGACTCAGGTCAGTGGTAGGTGTGTCCTATAGCCGGTTGTAGCTGGTAGTTTATTGGATATTGTGACGATAAATCTACAAAAGATCAGCCACACACATTTCTAATCCTGCTTATGTGTATATTTTAACTAAATCACAATTGCTATTTCTTTGCATATTTGTACACCCCGGATTAGCACACCTTTCCAGGACATTTTCAGGAGTTTTTCTTAACAATACAGGATAGCACTTGGTTTACACATAGGTGGTCATCATTTAAGGCAGTTACAATGTGTTCTGCTGTGAGCTTGCAATTGCTGTGTGTACCTTGAACGGTGCGATAAAACAGCTAATGATTGAAATGCTGTTTAGCAGCTGACTTGAAAGGTAGGAGTGAATGCTGAATAATAAGTACAGCCACAAAATGTAAACTGTCTAATGGCAGAAACCAGACATCATCCAAAATCATCACCAAATCCTACTCAGGTTCTTGGGCAAAAACCAAATTTCAGCCAATATTTTAGACATTTAAAGGTTTTTTAACTTCCAGTGCTGAGGAACCCGAAGCTTCAGCTGACAAGTGAGATTTTTCAATCATGTTTACACTTCCATTCAGTTACGCAACTCTGGGGCATCTCAGTACCTTCTGAATGGCTTCAAAGTACGGGATGAAGAGGTCGGTGTCATAGTTGGACATCTTGTTCTGCAGTACGGACACCAGGCGCTCCAGACCCATCCCTGTGTCGATGCTCTTCTTAGGCAGCGGCTTCAGCTCCGTCTCAGACTCTCTACAGTTAAAAAGACACATTTTCTGATCAGTAAATGAGTGTTTGCACTTTTAACAAGGCAGTCTTGTAGTGAGAGAGCACGCATGTGTTTGAATTTGACAAATTAACCAACTTTTCTGCTGAGGAAACTGACTTATTCAGTAGTTCTACTTTTCAGTTTGTTAAAAGGAAGATTGCACAGTTGAGTTCAGATCACGTCAAACTTTGGATTATTTGGGATACTCCCCTTTTTAATCACAATACCATTTCTGCCCGAGACTTTTTGTCATCCAAACACACACATTTCAGAAATCAGTTTAAGCTTTTACACAGCTAAGTAATCAGATTTCTTTGGCAGACGTATATCTACCTTAATACTAGTACAAAATAGGTCTAACATTGAGATGGATATTCAATGAGATCACTTGTAAACAACTGTAAACGTCTCTTGACTGCAGAAACAAAAGGAGGAACTATAAAGGAGGTGTGGAGAGAGGGTGTGTGCATTGTATTCAGTAGCTGCAGTGCATAATAAATAGACCATGATAAAGGTGTGTCCAAATTCCAGCATCAGCTGATCTTTATTTACAGATAGGTTTATGTTTTGGTATGTTGCCGTCACAAAGCAGGTGATCATTTGTAACCCACTGAACTGGTTACAAGCCTTTATACAGAGATTACGTTGTGGGTTTTCTTTTGTTTACATGACTGTTAAATAACAGCAGTAAAACATACTAAGAGAAATCTACAAAATCTTACACGGCAGCAAAAACACAGATCTTGGTTCTTTTGTTTTTACTGGCTTTTTCAGGGTTCCCTATTTTTTTAAGAAAACATTTTCCAAGTAGGACACATTTACCTTTATTCCTCCTAGTTTAATGATGCGAGGTTTATGATGAAGCATCTCAGGTTTGTTACAGGTAGAAGCATGAAGCTTTTTTTTGCATGTACAATTATCATTGTCGTGCACATATTTATTAACCACAACAACACCGGGTTTTCATGAAAATTCTGCTCCTGGCTTCGGAAAGAATAAACTCGACTAGATTGTTGCATGTTTGTTCCACGTCTGGTAATCCTGCTTTAAAGTGTCATATATGCAGGTTAGTCAAACTTAATACTAGTGAGGGGCTAAAAGCAAACTTATTTCCAGTATATTTGGTCATTTTAATCAATTTCCAGGTGTTTTCATAACTGGAAAACTAGTCTCTAAATTTCCAGGTTTTCCAGGATGAGTGGGAACTCTGTTTTTCCCCCCTTTAAAACCGTGACTATGAGGCGTTAGTGTGAAGGTGTGAACAAACGCAATCAACCAAACAGATTAAACATTTATCCCAGAAGGCATCACAACAAATTGTTATATACAATTGTAAATAATCTAAGTGCTGGTTTGTGAATAATTGCATCAGTCAGACGAGAAAACCTGTGAGTCACTTAAGTTAATTTATTTTGCAAAAGCATGTAACTGTGAGGTAAATATACCGTCCCCCCTTTAAGGTTTTTTAACATACTGTTATCAGTGTCTGAGTGAGTGCGTTACCTGTTGAACTGGATGAACACCAGGTTCCAGATCTCCAGGACGTTGGGATCGTCCATGTTCACCAGGTGAGAGGCGTCCCTCCCTCCGATGCGGTCGAAGTGGATTTCGCTGCAGGGGCCGCAGGGACCGGTGTCTCCCATCTCCCAGAAGTTATCCTTCATGCTGCCTGGCAGGATGCGAGCCTCTTCCATCCTGAGAGAAACACACATAAGCAGGGAGAGAAGATATTATTACATCGAAATTGGATGAAAATTAGAACATATGACGTATTCTGTGCTTCAATAATTGACACAACTGCCAGATTATAAGTTATTATATATTATACTATACTCATACTATGTTTTATTCTATGCTATATATTGTTATACTATATTACCTCATTTCACATTATATTTCATAACTTTGTTTTATTATACTATGTTATGTCTCCCTCAACTCAAAAATATGTCTTAATACATGCCTGGAGGGGATCTTTAATCATACAATATATAATTATTCTGGTCTACATGGTTTACATATACTAGACTTTCTGATATTAATTACACCACTAAGTCACTCTGTTCATATATACTCTATTTTAAATGTTATTTTATATACACTCCTTTGTCCTCCTATTGTCGTTTGTTTACCCTCTCTGTTATGTGTACTTATTTCTGTCCCTGTGCTGCTGCTACACCTGAACTTCCCTCTGGAGATCAATAAAGGCCTTATCTTATTACACGGAAGTCACAAAATGAAGAAAGATGTAACAGATATAAACATAAATAAAGATAATACATCTGCGTAGCTGTCCAGTCTAAGAGCCAATATATGCAAAAACAAGGGGCCAGTGATGTGTTTCTATGTGAGCAGACACACAAAGTTGAAGAGAGTAAAAAGTGAAACATAACCAAAACCCAACAGATATCAGGATTAAGAGAATGTTTTGAATTGTTTTTTTAAGGAGGGAAAGATCAGAGAAAGTCAGCTACTACGGGAGGGAAATGACAACTGAAAGCTTTGAATAAATAAATGGTAGATAATTGCACTGTTGAAACACCATGAGGGAAAATCTTTAATGTACTGGGCCTGAAAAAAGGTGGAGAAACTGAGGGAGGGAGTGAGAATCTTAACGGCTGTTGTTGTAGTCGGTGTGGTGGCTCTGTGGGAGGAGAAGAGAGGCACTTCCTCTGGGAATAATCACGGCATTATGCAATCACTTTAAACAGCGGCAGATAGACAGCAGCCACATTCATTTAGAGATTTACATCTGTAAAAAGAGCTGTAAATGATTTGAAGAGGAGGTATCAGGTACCCAGGAGATAATGTAGGGGGTTCAAAGTAATTCACACTGGGCAATGATTACTAAAAGATGTTTTAAGTATCCTTAAAGCAAGTGCTGTCTCATTCCCAAGCAAGGCTCACCCTAGGTCGATCCAGATCTGTTTGCACTCCAGGTCGGGCTCCAAGCCTGCGTCCTCGTTACCCCCAAAGTAAGTGACATACAGACGATCAATGGGAATACCAAACTCCTGGGTCAGCAGCTCCAAGGCCATCTTACAGGCCAGTTGCTGCAGAGGGAGGAATGAGACGAGACAGAGAGGACAACGAGACAGGAGCGTAAGAGAAAGTAACTGCAGTGCTCAACAGAAAGCACACACCTGGGTTAAAGAGGTGCAGGTATAAGAACAGGATGTCTCTAAATCAACTCACAAATTAGTTACTGATCGCAATGAAGCTCAACCGATACAGGTTTTTTAATGACCGACGCTGATATTTAGAGATATTTAGATATTATATAGGAAAACTAAATCAATCACGTAAACATGTGGATGCATTTCAGATTTAATACAAGGAAAAATGAACTTGCTGTGACTAAAACATGCAGTATTTTTAAATAGATTTGTAACCCTAGTCACAGTTGAGTTATAAAGTTCCTTAATAGAGGTTACAGTCATGTCCAGTAAGGACACGAGATTTGAGATTTTATGTTATTTTCATATCAAAATGAAGGGCACTACAGTAGAGCGAGAGCAATAAGTCTGCCAGGCTGAGAGATCAGTCAACATTAGCTTATGGCAGCTATATCAGTATATTTGTACCAATACGAAGTTTGTCCCCCAGAGACAAGTTGATTTTTCAACTGTAAAATGTATGTAAAGTATGCATCTTAGTCACAATCTGGAGGAGATCTGTATCAAGATTATTGCTTATTTATGTTATATGATTATTATTATCTGCCTCAAACCTCCATCAATCAGGTTACAATTGCAAGGTGACAAAAAGATGAGACCATAATACCTTAAAGTAGTCCCCAAAAGACCAGGACCCCAGCATCTCGAAGAAGGTGTGGTGGTAGACATCTTTTCCCACATCGTCCAGGTCGTTGTGTTTGCCTCCTGCACGGATACACTTTTGGGTGTTGGCAGCACGGTGCAGCCTGGCCATAGGGTGGGACGGATCGATGGTGTTGAGGAAGATGGGCTTGAACTAAGAGGAAGGGGTGTAAAAAGTACATTTGTTTTCTGTAAGAATCTTATTATTTTAGCACGGAGTCAAAATGTTGTAAATCAAAGAGAGAGAGAGAGAGGCCCAGATATTTGAGAACGACGGATGGATAGTGTACCTGGTTCATGCCAGCATTGGCGAAGAGCAACGTGGGGTCGTCCAGTGGGACGGTGGACGACGAGTGGACGTACTGGTGCTCATAGCGACGGAAGAAGTCGATGAACTTTTCACGGATTTGAGCTGCACTCAAAGAGGAGTCCATTCTGAATCAGCTGTCTGAACAAAAATATAGAAAGAAAGAAAGAAATGAATACTGTAACCACCAATCATGTTTAATCAGGCAGGCAAAGGTGACATTTAATTTAGTTCCATGTCTAAGTCCCTGACTGTGATCCACAGTGACAACATGAACATTTCTATGTAAATAACTAGTACAGCTTAGTTATCGAACAAACAGAAACAAGTCTGCAGGGCTGCCCCTCCGAGAACTTAATGATTCGAGTCATCAGTCGAGAAAAACCTGAGATGACTTTGCACTTTTGTTTTTTAGCTGTGTCACTGTACAGAGCAACAGCATGGCAGGCTGTAAACAAACCCAAAACGAACTGTGATGGAAGCAGAGAGAGCGTGACGACAGACAGTGGTGCAGCAGCTGCTGACTGTCGGTAAAGTTAGCCAAACCCCTTTTGAACCAGACAGTGGTTCAACCTCTTCTGCTGCCGTCCATTGTGACGCTGTGGGCTGACAGCGCTGCAGCAGCCCGGCAGGAGAGAGGCTCTGTGGTGCGCTGGGACTTTATAACTGAACTATGAGCAGGACGGACACTTTTTCTTTCTCTGACTGTGTGGAAATCTGATGTTTTCACATCAAAGATGACAAAGAAAAGCATTAAAATGTGAGGTAAATTATAGAACTGCTGATATCAGAGCGGAGTGTGGCGCTGAACTGATCGTATTGAACATCCAAATTCGACTTGAGTACAGACATAGTGGTCTGAACATGTGGCAACTTAAGCTCCCAGCAGCTGAGCCCAGCTATAAAGCAACAAGTTAAAAGTGTGAAATGTTAAAATTCCTTTTACTAAACAGACGTGTGTTTAGAGCTCCACCTTTCTCAGTTAAAACAAGAAAAGCGTGCGCTCTCACTGCACTTCTGCCCAAATTTAAGGCTGATTTTAATCAGTGCTAACTTGGCAGTTATGGGGTGTCTGCAGAGCACACACTACAGAGGTTAAAGACTTTGTTGTTGTCCAACCAGTTACACAGCTGTTATTGTCGTTCCAATCATATGTGGACAAACCTGGCTGAACTCTTCCAGTGTGAAACTGCAGTTGAGCTGCACCCTAAAAAAAAGATAAGAACAGGAGCTGAATGAGCTGCTGAGCTGCTTTTCTGTAAAATGTGGGATCCATCTTTCTAACAAGTTTAACAGAGACACTGCAAAAGTGCCAGTTTACCATTTCTGTGGATCAATTTTAATAATTTCCACTGTGAGTAAAGTCATTTGGCCATTAGACTAGTTACAACCATTTAAAATAGCTTAGTCTTTTCACCAAGCTATTTGCCCCAAGGGCTGCTTTGCTTCAACACAGCACCTCCTGAATGGTCGCACAAATACAGAAATAAGAGCACAGGGCAAAGAATACTATGATTTGTTGCATGAGCACTACAAGTATGTAAATAAGGATTACCTGTTATCATAATGAGGTAGGAAGGTATTCCCCCGCCACCCCTTTAGCCTCGAGTCAAGTCAGTTTGTACGGCGTGTGTCTTAACAAGCGGCCTTTGCAGAGATGTTCTACTCCGTCTTTTCCCTTCAGCAAATTGCCCTTTGGCTCGTCTCATAAACCAACGACAACTCAGGAATCCTGTGAGGCAGGCGAGACCTTTTGTGGATGCTTTTGTCTTTGAGCTCATCATCATTTTATCCAAAATACATCGAAACAACAGCCAAACGGCTCTTACAGGATACACACAATGTAAGACTGAGTGGTCAGGTGGATCTTTAGTAGTGTTTAACACTTACAGCTGCCATAAAGTAAAGCAGCCGTGAAAGAAAGCAGGAGAAATTTAACTTGCAATTCAGGATTTTTCCACTTTTCTCATGTGCCATGGTGTTTTTGGGTGTTTTATTATCTACACAGAAAGCTACAGATGGATGAGACACTGCCGCTGATGTGAGCCTATAAAGCTCATTGAGCACAAATAATTAGGAATGTAAAGACATATCGTGACACAGTTAAACTGCAATACAAATATGTGAAGATAAAACTCAGTGAGATGAAAAATTAATCACGATATCAACGAGCAAAGACTTCAGTTTCTCTTAACAAAAGTAAATATACATTACTTTGGACTACCTCAGGAGTAAAAAAGTATTCTATAATTTAATAAAGAACATGTGTTTTGTAGAAGATCATATTGTGAACCCAGTATCGGGAATTGTATTGAATCAAGAGTTGAATGTATTGATTATTTAAATCTGCGATTTGATTCACCTTTGATAAAGTCACTTGAAACTGCATGAATCTGAATTCAGCTAATTCAAATCTGATACGTTTGGACTCTTTTTAACCAAGCGTCATAACGACAGTATCACGAAGCTCTCAATAATTGAAAAAGTCAGCACAGTTGAATTCCCATTGGTGGACCACACTCATTCAAAAACTAGCTGGCAAAGGAGACCACACAGACTGTGCCTTCAGCTCTCTGAGGACTGCGAGCGAGCGGACGGTAAACAGCCACCGTCCCCATCCTGACTACCAAACCACCAACACCCTGTTGGCAACCAGAGAAAGACAGACATTTGGAAAGTCAAGTTAAGTTATTATAAGAAAACAAATGCTCATGGTAAAGCAGATGCTACTGGATCCAAAAGTGACAACAAGGAGAGGAAACTGTGCACTTTTAAAGATGCAAATGAGCTTTTATCCCTTCCCAGGTTTAGGGTTATTGTTGGTGGGTTGTGAAGGATGACATTTAAATCCACACTCCAAAAGTTAATAAGTGGTGCAGCCTTGTGTTATTTTTATTTTTTTTTTAAACCTTTTGTGCCACTGGGTCAGCTGTTTATTCCCACAAATACAAATGAGTTATATCCTCAGCTCCACAGGGATAATTTCCCTTTTCTCCTGCAGACTAAACCCAGTTCTCCACTGCCACCCATACCTCTGCTGTAAACAAGCACACAGGGAATGGTGCCTTAAGATAGTGCCAATCATTGCAGACAACATCCTTCCCTGTAAAACTGCTTCTATTGCTGTATTATTAGGTCTTGATCTGATTATAAACTCCTATGCTGAAGGCATTAGCTTTGACATTAGCAGGCTAAATCTTCTAGCTCGGCTCTATCTGTATGAGAGAGAAAGAGAGACATATCGTGGCACACAACACTAAACCAAAAGAAATAACCACTTTTTATGAATGGTACGACAAACGTTAATTGTTCCCACAGCACATGAGTGGATGATAATACTCACAGAAGTCGCTATTCTCGCAGAAAGAGTCGGTTTACTGCTCCCAAACACACCGCTTCAGCCCCACGCTGCTCAGCCACAGAGAGAGAAAGACAGCAGAGGCGGTGGACACGCCCACGGCGGCCGCTCATTGGTCCGCCGCGCCGCTGCGTCAAATTCTATTGGACGAGCCTCTTGTCAATCACAGTCATGCCCGCCACATCAATGGTACTCACTTCCCCTGTCGTGGCTGATGCAATGGAAAAGACACCGGTGTCAAAGGGTTTCTTTCTTTATTTCTTGCTTTTTGTTGAGTTTGACAGTGATTTTGGTTTCTGTTTCGCCTCCTGTGATTCCCACATTAAAATCAGTCATCCTTATTTTCTGGAAATGTCTATAAAGGCACAAACTGTGGCAAGATATCAGCAGTTATATGTTAATTATATTACCTGTAACTTTCAGCTTCCACTGGAAAACCAAGAGAACCAAAAGGCCTAATTTGTATGAAAAAAAAGAATAAATCTCATTTTTGAAACGTTTTGCATTTATAAATGTTTTCAAAAAATAAATTGAACCCAAAAAAAAGCTGTTAAAACTGTGAGACTG